GGTTCTGGATTTTCTATTGGCAGTTGCTGCCTGATAGGAGGTGACCCTCAATGAAGGCACAATGTCTAAAGGATCAAGTAATGGAACAACCACCAAAATGACATACTCAAAATGTTTTTTCTTTGATGGAGAAATCTTGCCATCAGAAGGTACTACTGGGGGCTGGCCAGTTAGCTCACTTGGTAGAGCATGGTGCTGGTAACACCAAGGTCAAGGGTTTGGATCCCTGTACCAGCCAACTGACCCCCGCCCCCCCCCAAAACAAGATTGACCTGTCAGATAAGTTTTTTAACTTTCTGGTTTTCTAGTTCATGCATAACTATGGCTCAGAAACACATGGAAGGAATAAGATATTTGTCTGATTAAAACTAGATAAGTCAGGAAGTAAGTTCAGTGTAAACAGTAAATGACTCTTAATCTTGATCCAGGAAAAGTTCCTCCATTTGCCAGGATCAGCACGTGTTGTGGTGGCACCTGCTGGACATTCTTCTTTGCATAAAGTTATACAGCCCCAAATATCAAACAACTTCCTCCTCAGTCTGATTTGTGATTCAAGAATAGACAAATAAATACGTCAAAGGGTTTGAAAGAGGGAAGAAATTATACATGAAAATAGTTTGGTTTGGAATTCTTTGCCAAGAGAGAAGATTTTAGGAATAATTTCAGAAAGACCAGAGGTGCTGAGTAATATGGGAAGGAGAAGAAACCCAAAGTCTTTTGGATCATGGATAGGCTCCTTCGATGATGTAGTAGGTGAACAAATCATAGAAATTCCACAGCTTTATTTTTCCCTGACTCCTTTGTTTTTTTTAAATTAATTTATTATTATTAAATTTTTTACCTTCCAAGATGTTGCAGAGCAGTTGGGGGAGGGGAGAGGGGAAGGGGGAGGAGGATAGGATGGGAGGAAGAGGACGGGGGTACGTGATTGAGGCCCATATCAACCCCTTCATTCTGTCAGGGGAGCCCAGGGGGCTGCAATGGTGGTTCAGTCATGGCTAGGCTAGATGCAGACTTGGGGGGGGGGGATAGCTGAAGCCCTTGGCCCCACCCCCACCCTGGGAGCCTGGGGTGCTTCCAGTGGCAGCGCAGTGGGCTCCACCGGGCGGGGGGGGGGCCGCGGGGGGGGGGGGGGGGCATAGCTGAAGCCCTTGGCCCCACCCCCACCCTGGGAGCCTGGGGTGCTTCCAGTGGCAGCTCAGTGGTCTCCACTGGGCTGGATGTGGACATTGGAGGGGCATGGCTGAGGTCCTCAGCCTCCAACTGCCCCAGCACAGGAGCCCAGGGTGCTTCTGGCAGCAGCTTGGTGGTTGTCACTGGGCTGGATATGGACATCAGGGGGTGTGGCTGAGGCCCTCAGCACCCCCCACTCTGGCCTGGAAGCCTGGGGCACTTCTGTCAGAGGCCTGGTGATCATTGCTGGGCTGGATGCTGATGTCAGGGGGGCATGGCTGAGGTCCTTGGCCCCCACAGCCCCAGCTTGGGAGCCTGGGGAGCTTCCAGTCCTTTTAGGTTTTATAGGTGTTTCTTTGGTGGTGTTAGACCTTTACTGGTTAATATCAGAACTTTGTCTCTGATCTGTGGGTTTTTTGTTTTTTCTTTCAGTTCTGTGTTGGATTATTTGCTGTTCCCACCACTTAAACTCTGCACTGGAACTAATTTGTTATCCTTTGCTGGCTTCTAAAATGGGGGAACTTCCTGTGGGGACCAGCACTGGAGCCCTGTGGTTGAGCTAAGTTGCTGTTTTGCCACTGATTCCCTGGGGAAAGCTTTTAGTGCAGCTCTGGTTTTAATTGTTGACCTTTTAAGCATTTCCATGACTTGTGAGGTCTGGTACACCTGGGTTTTGTGGAAACTCTGGTCTGAGCCTGAGTCTTTTCAGCAAACTGCAGCCCCTACAGTTCTATATTCCTGACCAGTCTATACGGAGTGGGCCTGTGCTGACTGGAGGGCAGATCAGCTGACCATGCTGTGCCCCAAAGTTCCCCTGGTGGCTCCCCCAACCCCACACTCCAGATGTTTCCCATGGGTCAGGCCGCATGCTGGTCCCTTGAGATGACTCACTGGCCTCTGAGTTGCTCCTTCTTTCAGTTGTCTGTGGCCCCTCACATGGGAATCCTGTTAGTGGTCTTGCTGGCTTGGGGGCCACCAGGCCCTCTTCTCCCCAGCAGACTCCAGGCAACTTCATACGAAGGGCACAGCTGTGGCTTTTGCTAGCTCCTGCTCCGTGTGCTCACCAGGGCCAGGCTTGAAGTGGCCAGAGCTTGAAATGGTGGGAGAGGTTCTTTCTCTCATCATGGCTTTTCCTGTCTTCATGAACTCCGTAGCCTCTCCTCCTTTTCCCCTGAGCTCTAGCAGCCCCCACTTGGCAGTTGTTGCTTTTTAATAGTTGCAAATTTGTTGATTGTGGGAGAGGGTGACACTGGATACTGTCTCTTCTGCCATCTTGATCGGACTAGTCCCTTGACTCCTTTAAATGCTGCAATAATCTAGACCTTCCAGGATTGGCCAAGGAGGAGGAGTCATCAGTCTATTTTGAGAGTTTATTGGGGATCATAGGAAGTCTGTGGTCTTGGTTGGTGCTAATTAAAGGGCGTGCTGTGGGCTCACTCTCTAGAGGTGGTGTGGGGGGTCATTTGAATGTAGGTAATTAAACGTAGAGCTGGTCATTTCTGTAGGCGTGTTAACAGGATTCAAGGGCTCAAATGTTTTCTGTTCTAACATGACTGATCTTAGATGTTCACCTCCACCTACTCTGACTTGGCTTTTCAGAATTCTGGCAGTGTTGTTGGTTAGGCTGCATAGAGTGCAGTGCTTAAGGTTTCTTGGATTCAAGTCCTACCTTCTCCCTTTGCCGGGTGATCCTCTCACTGCCTGAGTCTTCTGTTTAGAACTGGGATGATTAGAACAGATTCAAGGGAATCCATTCTTGTAAAGCTCTTAGAGCTACTACATGGTAAATATTCAAGGAAAGTGACTATTGCTTCTACCACAGTAGCTTATCTACTAATATTTGAATGAATGGGTGTATTAGTTCATTTTCTGTCACTGATAACAGAATACCTGAAACTGGATAGTTTTTAAAGAAAGGGAATTTATTTCTTACAGTTTGGGAAGCTGGGAAGTCCAAAGTCCAGGGGGCACATCTGGTGAGGGCCTTCTTGGTGGAGACTCTCTACAGAGTCCCTGGCAACACAGAGCATCACATGGCGAGGGCCAGAGCACTTCCACGTGCTCACTTGCTCTCCTTATAAAGCCTCCAGTCTACTCCCCGATGCCCCATCCAACTGCTAACCCATCAATCTGTAAATGGACAATCCTCACAATCCAATCATCTCTCAAAGGCTCCACCTTCCAAACACCATAGTCTGATTGCCCCCCTCTTAACACTGTTGCAATGAGGACCAAGCTTCAGTGAGCTTGTGGAGGACATTCAAACCACAGTGATGGGTTTGTGTTCTTAGTGTTCAATCATCTCCATCTTGTATTGTTGATTATTTGTATAACCAGAGCCACCTGGGTTATTGTTAACTCATTAGCAATAAAGATGGTGTGTTTGTTTGTCTGTTTGTTTTAACAATGAGCTATTTGTGTCTTGCATAAGTAGCCTGGCAAGCAATCACTGTCCCCTTCACCTGTGTATTTCCTCCAGTTGCACATTATTGTTCTTGTGTGGAGGATGTCATACTAAATGCCTGTCAAAAGGTAAGAGTTAGAATGCAAAGTTCCACAAGGGCAGGACTGACCAGTCTGCTCCATCCCTCTATCTCCTGTATCTGTAGGTGCCTTGCTCATGCTAGACACTCAATAAACACATATCAAGTGAACACACAAACGAATGACGGCAAAGAACCTTGTCCAAACCACTCCCATGTGGGTGGGGCATGGGTTTCCACAGGGAAAGAAAGTAACTCATTGCATCCATTAAAACTGATCTGACCAAGGTCAAGGGCTCGGATCCCCATACTGGCAGCCAGCTACCAAAAACCAAAAAACAACAAAAAAAACTGATCTGGATCTGTCAATTTTACAAGTAACCGGTCTGTCCCTCAGACCCCAGGCCACATCTCAGCGAGTGGCACTCAGGCAGCAGCAGAGTTGGTGCTTTCTCTTCTATCTGTTGAGAACACAGATGGGAAATGAGAAACCCCTCTGCGTGGACGTAGGCAGGAGCTGAGAGGTCAGGGAATTGGGGAGGAGCCAGTTATTGAAGGGTCTGAGATTCCACTGTGGACGCTCGTCTTTTTTAAAGCCGATTGTATTTTTCTGAAATGATTTCCTTGTTGCTCATTCATAGCTTAACTCTGCCCATGCTAAGGAGAATGCAGCAGGAGCCCTAGGCTGGCGTCTGGAAGGAGTCTGGTGGGCGAGGGCCGTGGTGGGGGCCGTGAGAGAATGCTCGGGGCAGCCTCTGCATGTTCAGTCACCCTCCCCACCCAGACAGTCCTTTCCCGGGTCTGGTCTCTGCCAAACCCTCACGTTGTATTTTGTGTGAATGTGGAAGACTCTTCCCTCAGGATCCTCTTCAACTAGAAAATACCCACTGGGAGGACTTCTACTTCCAGCCATGAGAGAGCACTTTCCAGAATTACCCTCCCTATGACATAACCAGGAAATTGTCCAAAATACTCAAAACATGTCATTTCAGACCCTGGACAGTAGGTAGCTCAAGACTGTGATCCCTGAGATAAGGGGCCTAGGTACAGGGAGGGGAACCCCAAGTGAGAGCCATGGAGGTGTGCAGAAATAGACAGGTGTTCTCTGTTGAACACAGAAGCAATTCTCTCGTAAGACGGGCCGTGACTACTGTGACTCGAGGCATCACATTTCAGCACGTTCTCGGTCTAGACTGTGTTGACTGCCTTCTGGAAGTATGAAGGCAGCTGTCATAAGCCACCCATGCTGCCAATCCCTCCTGAAAAGTGACCAGACCACTGACTCCACCAGCCCTCCCCACACGCACTGGGTTTTCATGCGAAAGAACGTGATGATAAAGCTTGTCAGTGATGTGTTTTTTGCTTTATTGAAATTCTTTCTTACAAAAGGTCTGATGTATTTTAGGCCAGGCCTAATTTCACTTAGTCCCTGAAATACAGGCCCATGGTCACGTCCATGTCCTCTTAAGAAGGTATGTAAACTAGCAGACTTTTATCAAGGTTCAAATGCTTTTCAACAATGTTTTCATTTGATGCAAAACAAGACCTGTGTTTTCCCAAATGAAGACCAAGTAAGAAAATTATGTGGGTCTTCATCGGTGGGGTAAACTACACTCTTCGTTAGAACCAAGATTTTTTTATCTTAAAAAAAAAAAAACTCAATGTGACATCTTTCCACCTTTAGTATTTTTTTTTAATGAAAACCGTGCAATGTGCTGAGTTATGCAGTAAAGAGTGCTATGTTTATATATGCATACGTATATTGGCTCTGGGAAAAGATGCATGAATACATGCGTGTCATGTAAACATAGCAGTTGGTCAGGAGAGTCTCTGACATTAGGACATTAATAAGTAACAAGCATATTGTAAGCATAGAATGTCCAAGGGCACGGATTAGCTTTGTCAGCCCGGAACTCTGCTGGTCCTGCACGGGGAGGGGCCCGGGTCTCATGTTCCCCAGGCAGGCCGATGCTCACCCCATGTGATCACGTATCCAAGGCCTGACTGTGAGTTTGTGATTCCCCGAAGTGAGGGGGGTCTGTGCTCACTCACTACTATGTAGCTCCCTAGTTCTAGAACACATATACGGCCCAGTTTGACCTCCTCCTTGTGTAAAAAGCAGAATATGACCTCCCTGTCACTAGGAGGGGGTGTAGACTCTAAACCTGCAGAGGCCCATGGTCGCTTAAAACCCCTAGAAGTTATGGGGAATCCTCACTTCCTTCCACCCCTGTAGGATGCATCAGGACTTGTGTTTTCCGGACCAGAGTATCACACCTGAAAAGTCCAGGAAGGGGCAATTATCATCACCTCCACACAGCTCCAAGAAACAGGTGACTTGGCTTAAGCCCTGAGTGCCTGATGACTGAGTGTCAGACTCAGGTAAACACAGACAGTCTCCTGTCATGCTCCACAGCAGTTATCCTACCTGGATGGCAGACCTGGAAACCTATCTCGCCTGACCATGCGCTCCCACACTGTGGGTTTTGGAATATGCAACCTTCTGATCACATGTGTCTCACACCTGAGCTCTTGCTCAGGTGCAGCAAAGACACACTGAGGTTCAGGTGGAAACATGGTCTCAGGCATTCTCAGTCTTCTGACTCATAGGCCAGGTGGATGGGCCAGCTGAGTGCCACCTGGAGGTAAGGTCTTACCCTGACTGACATGCCTTATACCAATGCCACACAGCAGATAAATGAATCTCGCTCCCAAGACACTATTTAGCACGCCATGGTAGTCATTCAGTAAATGTCAGTTTCACTCCTCGTCTCCAAATCCAGCTGGATTCCTGCAGGTGACTTGCAGCCCCTACCGCTGGCTTCTCCTCTTTCACTTGCCCAAACTAAAGAATGGTGCACCGAGGCAGAGGAAGGAGGAAAGAGGTCCCCACTCATTGCTGGGGAGGACGATGTTGAAACTATGGCCTAACTGAGGTTTGGAAATCATCGGAAGAGTAAACGATCCGCCATCCCTCCTGTCTCCACTGCGGCATTTGTCTTCTCTGACATATTCTCAGCATTTGTCTGTAACTAACAGATGGGAGGGAACACGGACACAGAGGCCCAATGTGCGGTGCTCAGAAGTCTGGGCAGGCTGGTGATTCAGCTGACTCGAGCTCCTCACGCAGGAGCCCTGTTGGAAGGGACAGGCAGGCAGCAGATTCCTTTGGAGCAGACACCCAAGAGGAGAACGACCACAGGCCACCATGGTCCTGGACTAGAGGTCTGGGGGCTGGGTGTGCTGGAGTGGGCAGGGCACAGTGTGGTCAGGGTAGCCCTGCGCGATACCCCCACCCCAGGAATACATGAAGGTAGCTGGAGGCGGGGCCCTGACCTCGGGCTGTGCCCACTCTCAGTGTCTGTTGCACGTCAGCCCGGCATCCTCGGCATGTCCACAGTTTGTCACCCCCCACTTGGAGAAGCTGCAGTGGAAGATGGTGTCCTCTGTGCCCTTGCAGGCAACGTCATCCATCCAGATCCTCCCTGTGCCTGTGGAGACAGGTCAACACAGTTTCTTAGCAGACATGCAGGAGGGCCGGAAGGAGAAGACAGAGCTGAACCTATCTGCCCTTGACCAGGGTGGCCCTGGCTCGACAGGAACTTTTCAAATCTGGTGACTTCCTCCTACCCTCTCCACCCCACCGAGATCTCACACTTATTCATTAGGCTCAGTTTCCTGAGAGCAGAATCACAGTAATTGATGGTGATATTGGTGGGGTTTATGAGTATCTTCTCTGTCTCAGTCCTCACCATGGTGCCATGAGGCAGGTAGTAATAGACCCATTTTATAGATGGGAAACCTGAGGTTCAAAGAGTGATTGGTGCAAGATCCCTTAGCTTGTTAGTGGTAGAGTCTGAACTCAAACCTCCCAGGCCCATACTTTATAAGAGACAGCACACAGCTTTTGGGCATGACAGCTTGCAGCCTTTGCTGATGAGAGTCAGGCAGGGCTGAATCAGAGGGACAATGTCAGACAGATCCTGGGTTGCCCTAGTGCCCCAGAGCCAAGTGCATCAGTACCAACATTATTTCTGATCTTCTGAGGTTCCCATTCTATGAGCCCAAAATAATGGTTACGGAATGGCAAGGGATCCCAGAATTTAACATTAGAGCCAGCGGTATATTTAAGGATATGCAGGAGCATTCCTAAACCCTAAGTAATGAGGTCAGTTTCCAAATAAAATGTCCCTAAGACAATTTATTTGACAGTTTTACCTGCAGACAGCCTGCTCACCCAGCTGTCAAGGGGACCAAGCTATTGGTCTGCAGATGCCCATGCAGGATGCCTTGGGGCTTTAGCTGCCTCTCCCAGCACTGTACCTGAGTCCCGAAAGGCATAAACTTGGCACTGAGGTCCCTCAGTGAACGGCAGGGAAACAAGGCAGCTGAGCAAGCCTCTGTGAGCGAGTGGAGAGGGCTTGTCTAGGGTCAGAAGGGGCGGTGGAGGGAGAGAGAGCTGCGCAGAAGTCACCCGGGGCTCCCAAGGACGATCTGGTGGGACCACCACCCATGGTTCCAGTGGGCTGTCTGGGCTGATGGCTGTGCCCAGCCCCAGATGGCAAGAGCCCATTTGGGAGCCCTCTGGAAGGGTGGATGAGCTCCAGGGCTCCCACGAAGCAGTCAGTGGCTCAGAGCCTCATTCCTCAAAGTGAGGTCCTAGACCCACAGCACCAGCCTCACCCGAAGCCTGTTAGAAATGCAGACCTCAGGTCTGCCCAGGCCGCACTAAGCCAGAATCTGCATTTTTTTTTTTTTTTAAAAGATGACCGGTAAGGGGATCTTAACCCTTGACTTGGTGGTGTCAGCACCACGCTCACCCAGTGAGCAAACCGGCCATCCCTATATAGGATCCGAACCCGTGGCCTTGGTGTTGTCAGCACCGCACTCTCCCGAGTGAGCCACGGGGCCGGCCCCAGAATCTGCATTTTAATGAAGCAGCTATGCCTTGCAGTGTGGGAAGCCCTGGGAGAGAAACAGGAGCAGGGCTTTGCAATGAGACAGGCCTCAATTCGAGCCTCAGTGCCATCTCGAATGACAAATTCAGCGTTCAAACTGGGAGGGGATTCCCTGGCTGTGGGACTTTCAGTAGTAAAAGTGGATAAATTCCAGGCAAACTGGGATGGCTGGTCACCCCAGTAAACTCACCTCTTAGCTCTCTGACCTGGCATTAAAAAGCACAGGTTACAGGTCATAAGCTGGGTTCCAACATTACTGGCTGAGTCACCCCAAGCAAGTCAACAGGTCCCCAAGTTGGAAAGGGCTTTGCCATCTACCAGAGCCTCCGAGCTCCCAGCCCGGAGGAGCAATACCATACCACATCCCTCCACAGCCCCTCCCCGGCCCATCTCCAGCAGCCGGACAGTCTCTCTCTTTTTTTTTTTAGTGGATTGTCAGGATGGACTATTAAAGGCTTAAACTCCATCATTCACTCTCGAACAGTGAAATCCCTTCACAGAGAATGTCAAGGGAACACCTAAACCATTTCACTGCCACCTAGACCTACTGCATGAACTAAGTGGTTTAGGCCTATTTTTGTTACATGGAGATTTTCAGCATCTGTTGTCACAGGATCGTCACACAGTGAATCCAGGGATGGAGCAGGGAGGCAAGGCCCCCTTCCGCCACCCTCCTGGATGTGTCCCTTGTCCAGAGCCTCTTCCTGGCCTGCAGAGCTGTGGCTCTTACACAATAAGCCCTTTGAGGCAGAGTAATAACTCGCAGATTAAACGTCTCCCAGAAAACACATCGGTTTACAAATGACCCAGGAAAAGGCAGCAGGCCCGAGAGCTCTGTGGGATTAGTCACACCCAAAGCAAATGAAGAAGCAATAAGAACAGGCCCAAGGTCACCCAGCCCGAGGCACACACCGGATCTCCCAACTCCAGACTCCAGCTGGTGTTTAGCCAGGGAGTTCTGGCTGATGTCCAGTCATAAACAGGCCAATAAAATGGGAATAGGGTCACTAAATGAGCAGCGCTGAGTATGTACAGTTGCAACGGTCTGGGGCATCATCGAAGGGGTCGTTAACCAGAAAACCATCTCTGCACCTCACACCATGCACCAGAGGCTGGAACCCCGTCAGCTCCAGGTACCCATTGTGGTTTATCGTTAGAACTGACCTACGGCTACTCAGAGTGTGGGCCAAGAACCAGGGCGCCAATGGCACCTGGGAGCTTGGTGGAAATTCAGAGCCCGCACTGTAGCAAGACCCCAAGAGAGTCACCAGCACATGGAGTCCAAGAGCCAAGTTCCAGGTTAGGTCTGTCTGCGCTTCCACACTGGTTAGCTCTGCTGAGTTCCACAACAAAGCCCTAGCAGGTGAGCAGGATTGGTACCATGCCCCCTGTCTTACAGATGGGCAGAATGAAGCCTCTGGGACCATCTTATCCCAAGGAGGTGAGATGGGCAAGAGCCCAGGTTGTCCGAAACTTACAGCACCAGGGCCTGTTTGAAGGCGGGGCTGCTTGGACGAGTGAGTGGGGATTTTATTTTAGCCTTATCATTCATTTATTTGAGAAATAATTGAGGGCCTACTGTGTGCTCAGGACTATTCTGGGTGTTTAGAATACATGGATGAGCAAAAGAAGGCAAAACAACAAGAACAGAAAATCTCTGCCTCAAGGAGCTGATGTCTGAGTTCGTATGTGTCTATTTAGAGCAGTGTTAATAATGGAATAAATCACACTGAATCCTGCAGGCTTCCATTGGAGCTTCACACAGAGGTTGGCAGGACAGCTATTCAACAGCCATTTAAGAAAGAGGAAAACTGAGGACCCAGAAATTTTAAGTGAATTGTCCTTGGTCCCAAAACTATTAAGAAGAGACCATGACTCAGGCCTATGGCCCAATCAGTTTAGTCCTTGCTCCTTATATAACCACAGCCTGCAGCACAAACCACTAAGCCACGGGGTGGCAAAACTGGGGGCCAGTTTTTGTAAATAAAGTTTTATTGAAACACAGGGCCACCTGTTTGATTTGGTATTATCTACAGTTGCTTTCATGCTACAACTGCAGAACTGAGTTGTTGTGACAGAGACCACCGGGCCCACAAAACTGAAAAGATTTGCTGTCCTGCCCTTTACAGAGCTGTGCCTTGCACTAAGCCATCTCTCAGTATTTGAATCTTACCTCAGAAAAAAGGGCAAAAAAGGGTAATAACAATCTAATGAGCAAACACTCCCAATTCCATCCATCCATTTCCTCCTACAAATCTGTCTGATTTGCACTGTCCCGGCCTCCTCTCCTGGTCGTCTGTCTCACAGGGAGATCTCCCTGCTGGTCCGAGGCTACTCCCAGCTGCACTGGCTCCCCGCTCCCCTGTCCTCCCAGACCGCACCCAGAACTCACCCTGCTGCCGTCTTCTCCAAGGCCTCCTGGGCCAATTTAAAATTTAAAGCATCTTCAAGGATCTCCCATTTGGGTCTTCCTTGCTTTTCCCCAGGGAAACAGGTAATTTGATTACTAAGCCATGCCCAGGAAAAACTCTATGGTGCCAGACCACTGAGAGAACTGCCAGGGACTGGGGACGTCTTACTGGGGAGGGCTCAGGTCAGGCAGGCACTAGATTCCTTCCTTCCTTCCTTCTTGCTCCCTCCCTCCTTCCCTCCTGCATTTATCCAGTATCTACTACATCCCAGGCACAGTTCTGGGTTTTGGAACTATAAAGGCAAATCCCTCAAGATGTTCACATACACTGAAGATCCTAGATTGGGAGGTCATGAGAGGTGCTATGACAAAGATATAAAAATGGCACAGAATAGAGGTATTTACATCATGGGGGTTGGGGGGTGGAAGGAGCCAGAGAAGCTTCCCTCAGGAGACGACAATTCAGCTGACATTAAAAGCTGAGCAGGAAGGAGGGAAAGGCCTTCCAGACAGGAGGAGCAGCACCGAGGAGACACGGCAGCATGACGGGCATCACACACGCTCTGAGAACCACTGAAGGTGACCAGCACGACTGGGTGGGGGGACAGGAGGTGGAGACAGGAGGCCCTGGGTGCTAAGCTGAGGAAATCATATGTGAGCCTGAGAGCAACGACCCCCTGAGGACAGGCAGGGAGGGACAAGAGCAGGCACTCATCTTCGGAAGACCCCTGGCAGCCACAGGGAGGAAGGCCCCAGGAGCTGGCCTGCAGGGGTGCGGCAGCCGTGGGGAAGTCGCTCCCGGAGGACTGCAGCTACTGCCATGTCCTCTACCACCGACGCCCACCTGCACCCAACACACAGCACGTAACACATACCACTCCAACTGCTCGACATGTGTGATCTCCTTTAACGTTTGCAATGTCCCTTACAAAGTGGAGGAACTACAGCTCACAGAGGTGAAGAAATCTGCTCAAGGTCACCGGCCAGTAAGTAGCAGATGTGGGATTCCAGTGTGGGTGGCTTGACCCCAGAGCCTGAGCTCCTAGGGTGAGGGAGTGGGCATGGGTTCAAGAGACACCAGAGAGGCAGACACTGGTGGGATCTGCAGGACGTGGGGACCAATCAGATAAGGGGATGGGGTGGGTCACGGGGAGGAGGTGCCGCGGGGTTCTGGTGTGGATGGGGTCTGACTGAGCTGGGGGTGCAGTGGACCAAGGTGGGGAGGTAGAGGACTCGGTGGGAAGGAAATGTGTGCAGGGCAGGTCAGCAGGGGAGCTTAGAGGGTCCTGGTGAGGGCGGGGGAGGGACAGCTGCGATCCCAGCTGGCAGGGGAGGAGCACATCAGAGGGGCTGATGAAAACAGAGACCACAAGGGGCCAAGGGCCTGGGGGCTCCGTGAGGCTGAAGCGGGGTGAACTGGGAGTAAGTCAGGGCACCAGTGGGTGGGAGGCTGTGGAGAGACCTTTTCCTTGGCCCTGTTCCCCTGCTCCACCGCTGCCACCACACCACTGAGAATCCCCTCCAGACCAAACAGGCTACGGCTGGGAGTGGGCATGCTCAGCTCTGTGCCCTGGCCCAGGAGGTGCCCAGAGGCTGCTCGTGGAAAGAGGAGGTGGCGGGAGAGTGGCCTGGGCTAGCAGAAGGGGCACCAGACGTGCCTCGGCTGTGTCAGGCCCTGCCTGCCCAGGCCTCAGCTTCCCTCCATGCACCCAGGAATGACACCTGGCTTGCCCACCTGTAACGGTCCTGACTAGCACGTGGATCAGTCATCAGACCACGATGGGGACATAGTGCACATCTGAGACATCTCTGGAAGCAAGTCCAGCACCCAACGACTGCTCTGAAGAAGCAGCGGCAAGATGAGAGCTTCCCGACACATGTCCTGCCACCTGAGAGTCGGGGGAGGCAAGTGGCCACCGACCCACAGCACCACTGGCCCACGGGGCTCAGGCTGGGCCACCTTTTCACCAGCTGCCCATGGCCTTCAAACTACCTATCTTGGCTTCTTGAAAAGAGCTTATGATTTTTTTTCTAAAACGGTTTTGCTTGGACTCCTTTCATTTTGGGCTCCCACGAGGACTGTTCCTTTTCTTCCTCTTATAAGCGGTTGCGGTGGTTTTTCTGGAAGAAAACAAGCTGGAATCCAGCCCAGAGCTTCAGGTGGGAGGAAACGGCTCTGTCCCGGGGGGCTGCCCTCCATAGTACTGGCCCCCTTTGTACTCCCTGTACTCTGGCTTTTAAGAAGAGGGGCCGGGATGTGTGGGAGTCCACCGGCCACTCCCTGCCAGCTGTACCAGAAGACGTCACCAAGAGTCACTTTCCGCCAATGAGACTGGGGAATAAGAGATTCTGAGCAAGAACTGTGCAGCCTGTGCTGGGGATGCAGAGGGACGTGGCTATGAGGAGGGGGTCCGATGGCCAGTCTGGATGGGACCTGGCTCCATTCTGGGTCCCTGTAGCCATTTAGCACAGGGGGTTGGACAGCCATGGCCTTGGCAAGACAGCAGGCACACCGGCTCCACCCCAGGAGGAAAGGAGCTCCTGCAGAGGGTAGCTGTGTCCACAGGTCACCGGGGGACCTGGCAATACAGCGTGAGAGCATCAGCCCAAATCCTTACCCCATCTGCCAGCACACAGGTCCTCTGGACAGGTGACAGCAGCACCTTAAAACCCTAGGGACTAGGCTGGAAGGCATATCCCAGAGTCTGCAAGGCCCCGAAGTTACAGACAAGACACCAAGACCCCAGGCAGAGAAGGGACACACCCAAGACCCCATGGCCAAGGGGCAGATCACTATTATGTATGTGTGGGGAATACCGGGTTTATGAATGTGGGGCCATTGTTTTAGTTTGGAGTCAACATAGTTTTCTCTATGTTCAAGGTCTGACGGAGGAGAAGGCGCATGAGTGTGAATTTGTGTATTTGAGTGTGAGAATGTATGTGGTAGCGTGGGGTGTGTGTGGGTTCAGCACATGTCATTTGGTGGGTGTGGAATACGTGCTCCCTGCATCTGGGTACAGATCTTCATATCAGTTTGGGTGGTGGCTGCAATAGACTGAATGTGTCCCCCCAAAATTCATATATTGAAAACCTAATCCCATAACACTAAGGGCAAGGGCTCAGATCCCTATACTGGCCAGCCACCAAAAAAAAAAAAAAAAAGAAAAGAAAAGAAAAAGTAAAAAAACCCCACCTAATCCCCAATGTGATGGTGTTAGGAGGTGGGGCCTCTGGGAGGTGATTGGGCCATGAGGGTGGAGCCCTCATGAATGGAATTAGTGCTCTTACGAGAGACCCCAGAGAGCTCCCTGGCCCCTTCTGCCATGTGCAACACACAAGCACTGTCTATAACTAGGAAGAGGCCCTCACCAGATACAGAATCTGCCGGCATCTTGATCTTGAGCTTCCAGACTCCAGAACTGTGAGCAATAAATTTCTGTTGCTTATAGACCACCCAGTCTAAGGCATTTTGTTATAACAGCCCAAATGGACATAGACAGTGGCCATAGTAAGCATGTCAAGGTATACAGAGTGTTATGGGCTGCATTTGTCCCTCCAAAGTTCATAAGTTGAAGCCTGACCCCCAGTACCTCAGAATGTGACTGTATTTGGAGATGGGGCCTGTAAAGAGGTGATTGAGATAAAGTGAGTTCATGTGGGTGGATACTAATTCTACCTGGTGTCCTCATAAGAAGAGGAAGAGACATCAGGAACCTGCACCTGCAAGTACAGAGGGACGACCCTGTGAGGACGCAGGGAGCAGATGCCATCTACAAGCCTCAGAGGATGCCTCAGAAAGAACCAAACCTGCCTGTCCTTGATCTTGGACTTCCAGCCTCCAGAACCCGAGAAATAAACGTGTGTGGTTTGAGGCACCCAGCCTGTGGTTTCTGTTACATCAGCCCCAGCTGACTCATACAGAGAGCTAGCTGGAGAGACAGACCCGGGGGTAAATGGAGACTGGAGCTGGGAAGGACAGACGGTTCAAACCCACCACCCACCTGAGAAGAGGCTGCGTACCTCCCTCAAGTCTCTTGTGCTGCCTGCGGGAAGGGGGATGTGCGTGCACACATCAAAAGGAAAGCAGCCGAACGGCAATGGCTTGTGCAATCTTGTCACACAAGGACAAGATGAATTATCTGGAGATATTCACCTGGAGAAGAGAAGACTCAGAGAGGCGGAGACAGCCAGCAGCGTGGTTGAGAGTACAGACCCTCCCCAGCCTCCGCTTGCGTCTGCCATTTGCTAGCTGTGTGACCTTGGGTAAGTTACCCCACCTCTCTGAGGTTCTGTTTTCTCCTTTGGAAAAGGGGGATGATATCTGCATGTATATCACAGTGAGTGTTGTCAAGATTAAATGAGTGAATGTTTGTAACGTAGCCTGGCACACAGGGAGCGATATAAATGTGAAATTATAACAAAAAGAGGAGAGAGATAGGAGAGCAAGTTACAATCATCTGGGGAGCTGTTCAGTGGGAGAGGGGCTAGACTTGTGCCTGAGACACAGGACTGAGAGTGAGGGCCAGCAGGGGAAACTGACGAAGCCATGATTCAGATTCAGAGAAAGAAAGAGCTTCTAACAATCAGATCTGTCTGAAGATGACAGGCTTACTTGGGGGACAGTGAGTTCCTACTGCAGGAAGAATCCAGGGAGAGGCCAATGACACTTGGCAGAATGGCGGTCAAGTGACTCGGGCTTTGGAGAGGAGACCTGTCCTAGCTTCCACGGGCCCTCTCCCCCATCCTTTGCCTCACCTTGGCCGAAGCGAGCTGTCCGGTACACCTCCTCAGCGCTGCGGAAGCCCAGCATGCGGCACACCACGTCCCCGTCCTTCTTGTCCCAGCCGTCATCGCACACGGTGCCCCAGCGCCGGTCATGGAACACCTCCACGCGGCCCTCGTGTGGCCCCGAGCCGTTCACCAGCCGGATCATCACAGCCTCCATGCCACCTGCCGGGAGCAGCCAACTGTCACTACCAGCACTGGACACTCTGGGGACCACCCAGGCACCCCTCTACCCCAGCAGGAGGGAAGAGAGGGATGGGGCCACGGCCATGCCAAGACCTCAGCCCCAGAAGTCACGCCGTGTCACCTCGGCCCTTTGCCAGCCTCCTTCTCTCACCTTTTTTTTTTCCTTTTTGTCTTTTTTACTGACCTGTAACGGGATCGCAACCCTCGGTGTCGCGCCCGCACAGGGGACCGGCAACAGGATCGCAACCCTCAGTGTCGCGCCCGCACCGCGCTCAGCCAGTGAGCAGGAACCGGTCTCCACATGGGATCCGAACCCTCGGCGGGAGCGCCACTGCACTCCCAAGCGGCGCACTCTCCAGTGCGCCACCGGGCCGGCCCACACCTTTTGTTTTTTTAACAGCCATTTTAAGGTCACAGCAAAATGATCGGACGGTACAGAGAGTTCCCATATACACCCCCTGTCCCCACGCATGCACAGCCTCCCCACTGTCAACATCCCCCTCCAGAGTGGTGCATTTGGTACAGTCCATGAACCTGCACTAACATGTCATTATCACCCATGTCCACAGTTCACATCAGGGTTCAGTCTCGTAGTTACACAATCTATGGGTTTGGACAAACACACAGTGACGTGTATCCACCAATGACAGCATCGTACAGAACACCTGTTCATCCCTCTCTCCCCCTAACCCTGGCAACCACCAATCTTTTCACTGACTCCATAGTTTTGCCTTTTCCAGAACATCATATAGATGGAACCATATGGTACGCAGCTTTTCACACTGGCTCTTTCACTTAGTAGGATGCATTTACGTTTCCTCTGGGTCTTTCCATGGCTTGGTTTTTAGCACTGAGTAATAGTCTGTTGGTGGATGTACACCCACCGAAGGACGTTTTGGTTGCCTCCAAGTTTTGGCAATGATGACGACAGCCGCAGGTTTTTGTATGGGTGCAAGTTCTCAGCTCCTTTGGGTAAATATCAGGGCGCGTGATTGCTGGATTCCTCCCCACCATTTGTGACCTGGTGACCAGCAGCCAGGCCTGACAGGAAGGAGGGTATAGGAGGAACAGAGGAAACTGATGGATGGTTGGGGCACTGTGGCAGGTGGCCTTGCTGTGTGGCTCGGTAAGTGGAGAGGTGCCTGGGAGGTGTCTCAGCCCTGCAGTCATCATTCAGCTCTACTGTCCCATGAGGCTGTGAGTGCGAAAGTGCTTGAAGCCAGACAGACCCAGCTGTGGACTGTGGCTCTGCCACTCACTGTCTGAGAGAGACGGTGGTCCATCAGATCTATGATGCCCCTGTGGTGAGGCACATTGCTGCCTTATATGCCACTGAGAAGGAAAGAACAGCTAGTTAGGTGGCAAACTATGTCAACTGCTGGATGCTTCCTGATTTCACAGATGTTAAGATGTGTGTCACAGAATCAATGAAATATGGCGATATATGTAAAGAGCTTAGAACAGCAGCTGGCACATAGTAGGCTCTTCCCACCTAAATGAACTTGAGGAAATCTCATAGCCTCTCTGACGAGGGGACAACAGTCACAGGACGGCTGTGCAGATGAAATGACGCACACAAAGCTCCGAGCGCTGTGCCCGGCAAATAGTAGGCACTAGGCAAATGAGAGTTTGCTCCTTTTTCTAGTGGGTGATGCCCTGTGGCCTTCACCTCTAAATACATCCAGCTTGGTGCCTGGATGGAGGAAATGCACAGTCAATCCTTGCTGAGCAGATGCATGAGTGAAGACTCATCCTTGTGCATGACAAAGCATCGTCTTAGTTCTCCAAAGGGATGTTCTGGAGACTCAACAAACACGGGAGCAAATGAAAGGAGCCTTCAGATTGTCACAAAGCCAGGGTTTGGCTGGGAAGTCATAAGTCTCAGGGTGATAACACGGTAGAGCCAGTGTTGGGATCACAGCTGGGGTCTCCTGATGTGTCTTTTCATCATCCCATCTGCCCCACCATTCATGGGGGGCTATACCACCCCATGGGGGCCTTCAAAGGGAAGCCTCAGCGTGGGGTCAGTTGGTAGAGCGAGCAGCAACAGGAGGGTGCTGTGGGTCCCAGGGCAGGTCAGGCAGGGTTCAGGGTGTCAGGTCAAAACAACAGGAAGAGGTCGGAGTGAGTGGGGAGTCAGAGCTGGTGTTCAGAGGTTCCCTGACTTAGCCTCTCTCTCTGGCCAGCCTGAGCTCGCTCTAGGTGACTGAGAGTCAGTTACAGAGCCGTGGGTACATCCACGGGCAAAGCCCTGCCCTTGTGGAGTGACATGCTAGTGGGGGACACTACCATCAAAGCGCCGGATCTACCTTAGCAGTAAACAAATACAAGCAGGACTATGGCCAAGTAGTGGTGACAGTACAGACGGGAGGAGAAGCACGGGGACAGGTGGGAGCGAGGTGGGCACCTCCGGCACGGGAGACAAGGAGGGCCTTGGGTGGAGACCGAGTGAGCCGAGGAAGGACACGGACTTCGCCAGCTCAGGAAAAACCAACCCTCTGTACTCCGGCCTAAGCTTTTCTCTTTCTCTAGGTCTCAGCTTAGATGTCCCTTCTCCTGAGAAGCCTCCTCTGGTCCCACACCTGGCTGGGGCCCCTTATGGACTGACTTACTGCTTCGTATCACATTTACTCTCTCAGGACACTGTGAGCATTCTGAGGGCCACGTGGTCTGAGACAGGGCCTGGTACACGGAGATGCCCAATCTGTGCAAAATGAAGCCCTGCACGAGTGAGTGGACGCATCTGATAATGGAGACCCGGGTGGGCAGGTGCCGTACGGTGGACACAGCCCCCCAGAGTTCAGGGCTTGGTGGGAGCCTGAATGGAGAAGCCGCCATCAGGGTGTCCCACGGCTCCGCCGTCCTCTTCACACATCCCAGCCCGTTCTAGTCACGCTCTCGCTGGCTTCTTATGGTGAGATGGTTCTGGACCCAGACCTCAGGCTATTGGTACAATGACTGTACATTCCAGATGTGCCTGTCATAGGACTATGGTGGGTGTTAAAGAAGTCTGGACAATTTCATCTGGACATTGAAATATTGAAATTTCCAGGAGGTTCCAAGGTATATGGAACTGACAAAAGAATATTTGGAAACAAGACGAGTGAAAAATTGAAAGTATAAGGTAACCATAATTATGGGACCCACAGCATCAATTTCAAGGATGTCTCTGGGTCTTGGCTTATGTTCCCTATTCTACAAGCAAAGTCATAGCTCCCAGGACTCCCCATGGCTCCTAGTGGGGTACCCCCACCCCCACTACAACCACAGTGATCTCAAGGACTGAAAAGAGAAAAAGTGCCCATGAGGTGGTTAAAAAAAACTAGACAGCACCTTGATGAGGCTGGACCCCAGCCAGACCTCAACGTTGGTTCATCGAACACCAGAGCCTGTTTCTCGTCCCTTGTCCCCAGAGCTTCCAGACTCAGCTTGCCCCCATGTGGAGGACCACCTGCCCACGGGATTGAGACATGCTGCAGGCCCCAGAAGGGCAGAAAGGATTCTGAAGCTGCATCGCCTCCCCTGGACCCATCCAAACCAGACATCTGTTCCAGCTCCGTCTTGTGGAATTTGGCCCTAAACTGTTTTTTTTTTTGCATCCTTTTCCAGCTAACAAAATCTCAGCTCTGTCGCCATCTCCCTGGGACACCACAGGATGAGTGAGGTCTCACCTGCATCGGATGCAGCCTGCCCCATTCAGGGACTCAGACGGTCCAAGAGGCTGTTCCACCAACAGTGTCTCTGGTCCCCTTTGTTCTCAAGGCTGCCAGCCAGGTGGACAGGCACCTTTCCCAGGCCTGAACAATAATGCCACCTCCTGCAACACGCTCAGGGAATCATCAAACATGCTGCAACAGTGACCCCCCTCCAGCCCAAGAAGGGCGTCATGTCTTGTTAAGAGGTTTGGGTTTCTGCGGGCAGAGGTTTTTTTTTTTTTTTTTTCCTTTTTTTTTGTCTTTTTCGTGACCGGCAACGGATCGCAACCCTCAGTGTTGCTCCCGTACTGGACCGGGACCGGCAACGGGATCGCAACCCTCGGTGTTGCTCCCGCGCCCCGCTCAGCCAGTGAGCAGGAACCGGTCTGTATGTGGGATCCGAACCCTCGGCGGGAGCGCCGCCGTGCTTCCCAAGCAGCGCACTACAGCAGTGCGCCACCGGGCCGGCCCAGAGGTTTTAAACTCTGCAGTTTTCTAGCAGTTTCCACCCCAGGGCAAAGCTTTCCCACTAAGCAACCAACCACGACTGGGAAATGCTGTCACTGAACAGACGCATCAGCTCCACCTAATCAGACACAGTGCCTGAGTGGCAGCCACTCCTGGTTTGTGACCCCCCCATCCCCCCAACCAGGACGCTTCTTGTTACTCCAGGGAGCGTCCTCAGACGCCCAGAGTGATCCTTGCAGGGCACATGGGGTGCAGGGGTCAGGGGACGCCTCTCTTTGCATGTGACAGCAGAGAGAAATGGAGAGCCGGGATTCCTGCTTGTGTAAAGCCGGCCAGTCCCAGGATGGCAGTGAGGGGCGCAGTGCGAGGCGAGGGCAAGCTGCTCATCCACGACAGGCGAGGGGACCCCACGCTCTTGGGCTGCAGCCACGTCCTTAATAACTGCCCTGCACTGACCCAGAGGCCCCTTCCCCTGTTCTTTGCATCCTGAGCCCTGGAAAGTCCTTGTTCCCTGCCCTGCTGCTCGCTCCCCCAGGACTATCTGATTTGGAGTCACAGGTGAGTACCGGGGTAAGGAGGACATCACACTGTTCCTCTTGTTCTGGGTCCTGAGCCCGCAGACTGGGGTCTACCTGTCCATGTGCCCAAGGTTTGCAAGTGGAGAGGAAGGGACTGACCCCAAGGCCAGCTGCTACCCAGCTCTGCACAGGAGTGGCACCCCAGCATTCCACCTCTCGGCTGGAAAATCCAGATTTGAGGGAACTGCCAAGTGGCTGTTCCTCCCCAAACACACGTAAGTCATGTGGAGATCTTTCC